TGGACATTTTCACCCCCAAATCCACCCCCAAAACCGGACATTTTTACCCCAAAAACCACCCCCAAAACTGGACATTTTCACCCCCAAATCCACCCCCAAAACCGGACATTTTTACCCCAAAAACCACCCCCAAAACTGGACATTTTCACCCCAAATCCACCCCCAAAACTGGACATTTTTACCCCAAAATCCACCCCCAAAACCGGACATTTTTCACCCCAAAACTCAACATTTTCACCCCAGAAACCACCCACAAAACCGGACATTTTCCCCCCAAAACTGGACATTTCCCCCCCAAAATCGAACATTTTCACCCCAAAACCGAACATTTCCCCCCAAAATCCAACATTTCCCCCCCAATCCCCTCCCTCCCCCTCGGCCCCGCCCCCCGCTCTCACCTCAGCCAATCCCGTGCTGGGAAGAGGGGGGGGAGGAGCCGAAGCGTCGCCGCCAACGAGACTCCGCCTCCATCCTAAAAGGGGGGGCGGGGCCTCCGCCCTAAACCACGCCCACGGGCCCCACCCCCTTTCAGGGGGCGGGGGACACCCAGTTGCCCCAGTTCACCCCTCCCCCGCTCCCAGTCCACGCCCCCTCCTGCGCCGTCCCCGCCCCCTCCCCCGCCCAGGCCGCGCCGGCCCCGCCCCCCGCCCCAGTCCCGTACTGGTTCCCAGTGGCCGCCGCGTACTGGGAGGGGTCGGCGGCCGCGGCGGCCGCCCCCGAGGCCGCGTACTGGGCGGCGCTGGCGGCGTACTGGGCGGCCGTGCTGGCGTACTGGGAGGCCTCCGAGCCCGCCCCCGCGTACTGGGAGCCGTCGGTGGAGCCGTACTGGGAGTACTGGGAGTACTGGGAGGCGAACTGGGCGTACTGCTGGTACTGGTACTGGGCCCCCGCCGCCGCCAGCTGGGAGGAGCTGGTGTTGTACTGGGAGGAGGAGGAGGAGGAGGAGGAGGAGGAGGAGGAGGCGCCGGTGCCGTACTGGGCGGCACTGGTGCCGTACTGGGCGGTGCCGCTGCCGTACTGGGCGGCGCCGGTGCCGTACTGGGAGGCGCTGGCGCCGTACTGGGAGGAGCCAAGGTTATACTGGGAGGAGCCGAGGTTGTACTGGGACGAGCCCAGGCCGTACTGGGCCATCCTGGCGGCCATGGCGGGGGTCATGGCGAAGGGGGAGGGGCTCCGGGGGGCGGCCCCGCCCCCGCCCAGCGAGGCCCCGCCCCTGCCGTGGTAGCAGCACCCCCGGTGGCCGCAGGGGCTGATCCGATTGGCCGCCGCCGCCACCGAGGCCACGCCCATGCCCGCGTTGCCGTGGAAGCGGTGGAGGCAGGCCCCGCCCCCCAGGCGGGCCGAGCAGCCCAGCCCCGCCCCCAGGTTGCCGTGGAAACGGTGCAGGCAAGCCCCGCCCCCTCCCAGGCGGGGGAACGCCCCCCCGGCCACGCCCCCCCGCAGGAAAGGGCTGGGCGGGGTCCTGGGGCTCCACCCCCCTCCCCCCGCCCCTCCCCCCCGCGTGGGCGTGGCCAGGAAGGGCGTGGCCGCGCGCTGGAAGGAGGCGGAGCCGGGGCTGCGGGCGGCCAATAGCGGGAAGGGCCCGCCCCCCCGGCCGGCCACGCCCCCGCGGGCGGTGGCCAACGAGAGCAGAGAGCCCGGAGGGGGGCGGGGCGAGGGGCGCAGGCCACGCCCACCCGCGGGGGTGAGCGACAGGAGGGACCCCGGGGGGCGGGGCAGGGCCGTGACTCCACCCACCAGGGCGGGCTTGGAGGGGGTGAGGGACAGCAGGGGCGTGGCCGAGGTGGGCGTGGCGGCGGCCGAGGCCGTGGTGGGCGTGGCCGAGGCCGTGGTGGGCGTGGCCGTGGCAGCGGCGGCAGCGGGGGAGGGGGTCACCGAGGGGGTCCCGGGGGTCACCGTGGGGGTCACCGAAGGGGTCACCGTGGGGGTCGCCCCGGGGGTCGCCGCCGCCGTGGTGGGCGTGGCCTCGGTGGGTGTGGCCGCAGCGGGGGCGGGGTCTGGGTACCGGGCGGGGCTCTCGGTGCCGGCGGCGACCGGGGCGGGGACACCGGGGGCGGCGACCGGGGCGGGGACACCCGGGGCGGCCTCGGCCTCGTCCTCGGAGGAGGAGGAGGAGGAAGAGGAGGAGGAGGAGGAGGAAGAGGAGGAGGAGG